CTAATTTGTAGGAATTTAATGTGATCCGGAAGTGTGTTTTAGAAGCTTTTTATCTAGAAATAAGTTTATTTTTTATTTTTTGTTTTAGAAAGAGAATGACACATGGAAAAATGGTTCATGTAATATGGTGGATTTGGAGCCAGAAATTTTTAATAAGAAGTTACCACATCAACATCCTGTATTCTGCTTTAATAGGGTAAAAGAGATAAAGTAATGTAACAATGTAACTACATGATAAAACAATTTAACTACATGATAAAAGTAACAACGAGAAATTCAACCAAACAAAGCAAGAATTTTTGCAGCATCGATTAGACTCTGATGATATATATTTTCCATTTAATGAAAAAACGTGGTGTATTGCCCAAATAAGCATAGTATATGTATAGTAAATTTCATAAATAAATAGTAGTATATAAATAAGTACCTTTCTTCCTAGAACTTCCTATTGATCCGAATATTCAAGAAGAAAGAAACAAATACCTTGTGTATTTGCTGAGGGGAAAATAATATGCTTGCAAATGATGATGAAGAAAACTCTTTAGTTACAGTCAGCTAACCCAGTCATCAATGAAATAATAAAGAAAACTTTTAAATGAAAGCCTAATTAAGTGATATAATCAATCTCAACAATATTTTTTCACCCCAACGAGCCTTCTTCCAGTTTGCCAAAAAAAGTCTTGTAATTAGACAAACCTAAAACTAAAATCAATTGATCAATGTATCATTTCACATAGAGAGTAAAAATATGCATCGCGCTCACTTTCCCTATAATAAACACATTGTCTTAAAATATATTTGATGTTAAACTCATACGATGTACGAAATTTATTTATATACATTACAGAAAAATTACTAATGATGTAGAAGGTATGTAATATCTATAAAGTTTATAATTATATTAATATCTATTATATGATTAGAATTAAATAAAGGCGTAAGTGAGAAAATGTTTGTCAATCTTGCATTGCTTGCTGATCACTTTTGAGACTTTACTTCCTTAATAGAACTAATGAATTAATCTTTAAAATTTCAATACTTTTTTTTCGTGATAACCCAGTTCAAATAGCCAGTTCAAAACTCAAATTAAAAAGTAAACTCTTGCATAACAAAAAAAATCATGAATTTGGTCGATCACTTAAAAACTTAAAAAATTAGAACGCCCTTATTCATGTTTGTTTACTTTTGTAACACCCCCGGAGTTTGGTGGCTGACATAGTGAAATTGTAGATAAGAAGATTATAATTATTTACAACTACTTTAGGCTTTAATTGTTATAAAAAGTAAATATCTACTTAAATTATAGCTAATAAAAGTTATGGGGACTTTTCTAGTAAATACACCAAGTTTTTTTTATTGAATTAATGAGAAAATGACACATACGATAAAATCACATGTGGCACTCTAAGATTTATTCTCTCTCTCTCTCTCTCTCTCTCTCTCTCTCTCTCTCTCTCGTTTTTCTCTTAGAACAGTAGAATACTAGATAACCCGTGTACTCACGGGCTCCCTATTAATTTTTCATGTGTATCATCGGCGTTATTGATAAAAATAAATTTAAAATAAAATAAAATACGAAAATAAATAATTTTTACTTAATGAGCAATATTTATGAGTGTTTACAAATACAACCATTATTTGTTATTTACTATTATTAAGAAACACAAATTATTTGTTAAAACTTATTTTTATATGATAGAGAAGAGGGAGGAGGAAATGCGGAAAAAGAGTTGGGATTGGAAGAGAAAATGCAAAAGCCAAAAAGGAACATGTATGTTATGAAAAAAATTATCTAATTGCTCATTTATTTATTACAAAGCATGAAAATCAATACATTACACAAAAAACAATGTTGCATGCGGGATTAAATTAAGGAAAAGAGATTTAAAAAAATTAAGGAAAAAGGAAACATTTTGGCACATCAGTCATCTAAAGTAAGGAGGTAAAATAGAAAAATAAAATTAATTCTAAATTACCAGAAAATGACACATCAACTGGAGTGGGTAAAATGGGCGGGAAAAGGATATAATAGACTTTTTGAAGGGGTTTTGTTTTAGTATATAGTATGATAATAGTGGAATATATTATAGATAGATAGATAATAATAATAATAATAATAATAATAATATAGATAATTAGAAATCATCATAACCATTTAGTAGTAATTCTGAATAAATGTCCTCTTGAATAAATTTTCTGTATTGGCCCTAGTGTATGAGGGGTCCAGAGCTAGTTCTGCTAACACGATTTATAATCTACTTAAGACTCCAAAGTCCAAAGTACTGAGATGATGGAGGCCGCGTTTAAAAAGCTACGCCTACACCATTGGTAGGGTTGGTAGTTGACCTTTGATGGTATGTCTATTTACAAGTTCTTCCAAATTCTCCTTTCAAAGAAAAATCAAAAAATTCTGCCAACTTTTTCAGCTATGAATTAATTTGTGAGTACGCTTTCAATCTTCATAATGTATTCGAGGTAAATCCACTCAAGAAATATAATAAGTAAATTGATACTTTTTTTTAAAAGAAAATGGAAAAATAAAAACCTATATCAGTAGACACCGTTGATGGAATTTGATTTTTTGGACCATTACCCCAAAAAAAAAATGTGTTTTGAGTATCACAAATTAGTTTAAGATAATTTTCCTAATAATTTGATACTCCTTCCGTCCCCAAAAAAAAATAGTTCACATTAAGTTTTGAAAACTCGATGTAGACTATTTTTTTGGGACGGAGGTAGTACTCCTTTTTTTTTTTAGACAAAAGTAGTTCTCTCGAATTTGACACATCCGAAAGTTCAATTAAGATAAGTCGAATTTTAAAAAACCAAAATTCTGAATCTAGATGAAGTAATATTTCAAGGCTATATATATATAACTATCCTAGTTTCGGATTTCTGAAATCCAAAATTACAACAAATCCGAAAGTACTACTTCTGTCCATAAAAAAATAGAAAAAATTAGTTAGTTAAAAAATATATTTTGATTAAAAAACTCGTATTTTTGTACCAAAAAAGTACTCTATATATAGTAGTATTCTCTCTGTATTGAAATTATTGTTTAATTTAAATTTTTATTTTTATTAAAAATTGTATTAAAATTGAAATTTCAAACTGAGAATAATTTTGGGACAGGGGAGTATTAATTACGCAAATGCCTCCACGTTCTGTTTAGTCTCTGGTCTTGAACATGTATCCTTTTACTCTAGTAGTGGATCATTCCCACATGACTACACTGAAAACCAGAGTGTCAACCGCATTGATTTCAAAATTACGTATGAGATCACATAGAGTAATTTGGTGATCATAAAATGTAGCAAATGTTCTCAAAATTTAAGAAAAAAAAAATGCTGCCTTTTTTTTTTTAAATATATATATAGATATAAAATAAAAGCGACTTAATACATTTTGATGCGATGTTACAAAATTACGAACTCTACATCTTACGCGTTTAGTTTCACTCTCTATTTTTGAAAAGGATTACTTCTAAACAAAGTTTTTATTAGTGTGTTGTATGTCTTTTTACCCTTGCAAGAGAAAAAGTAATTTTTTTCGTCTCCTCTCAATTTGATTTACCTTATCTAAAAAATAAAAAATACGTAAAAATTTTTACCTTACAATATACAAAAACCTCCTTCACATCTTATGTTTTTATTTCAACTTAATAATATCCTCCCTTTTGTTTCCCAAGAAAATAGTAATTCTTTGTTTATTTTCTTTTCCAATTTTATGCCTTTCTAGTTTCTCCCTCCCATTTTGCAATCTATGCCTCTCTCCTTGCCTTCCATAATTCCATTATTACCCTTTGAAAGAATAAAGATGGCCGGATTAAGTAGGGTTAAAAAAGATATAAGGATACAAATTAAATCTGAAATAGTCTAAAACGACCCTAAAAATTTGGTGGTAATATTACATTTATCTTTATTTTTTCCTTGAAGAATGAGATAATTTCAAAAATATAATCAGGCGCACAATCTGCCAATAGATAAATCTCTCCCTTTTTGCCCTTTCTACATAATCGAAAGATTTTTGCCTAATTTAACAATTTTTGGCCAAATTGATTTAAAATAGCGAGTCAATTACAGAATCTCTCTGAAAAAAGTCAACTTCTTTTGTCCACAATAATGTATTATCATCAACCAGCTGTTAATAACTTACTCCTTTTATTTATTATTTATTTATAAATATTTGGTTACAACTAGTGAAATGAAAATGCACTTGTATAATTAGTTCAGAAGAATACAAAACTGCAGTTCAAAGATTCTCTTGTGAAATTACCAACTGACCATTAACTACTTGCATAGTTACATAATACTCTTTCGATAGTTTCATTGTAGATCGTTAAACAAAATATATCTAATCGCATATTAGTATTCCCTTAGTTGCGAAATTATTATCCAATTTTGATTTACATTGTTAGTTCAAATTATACTAAAATTAAAATTGTAAACTGAATAAGAATTTTAGGACAGAGGGAGCATTAATTTTTCCTTCCAAAGGTAATTTTCGGAAACTTGACAAAATTTTTCTAATTTCCTTCAACAAGACTTCTTTCATAAATGACGAAGTAAGTAGTACTATTTATTTCGAGAAATTGAATGATACCTGGTTAAGTTGCTGTCATTTCTGGTAATAGACCAGGGTTCGATTCCCACTAGAGATGTAATAGATCAGGGTTCTATTCATATTTAAATGAGATTTTTTTTTCAAAAAAATACTATTTATTTCGAGAATGACTACCGTTTACTGTAACACAAAACATTGAATGCTACTTCCTCTGTCTCAAAATTATTGTCTACTTTGAAATTTCAACTTTAATACAATTTGAACTAGAAATGAGAATCCAAACTGGACAATAATTATGGGACGGAGGGAGTACTATTAATATAGTGGAAAGTCAAGAAGGAGTTTTTAGTAATTTCGATTGTCAAATTTCCACAATCCCTCCTTGGTTGATTAGTTTGTGTTCAAACGTTTCCAGCCAAATCCTTGGCGGCTTTTAGTATTTACAGAACAAAATATGAATAAAAAACAAATGCGAACGTATACTTCAATAATCTCTCAACCTTCTTCTTCTTTGTTTATTCTTGTATATAGGCAATTAGGCCTGTTCATAAGCACAGCAGAGTTCAATGTTCATTCTTTAAAGTGAAATTTCATCTGGGTGTTTTTCTGGGCAAGCACAGAAATCTCTCCTCATTCAACTGGTGATCTTTCAAACCTTGCTTTTTTTTACATTTCTGTTCTTTTAAATTCTTTGATTGGTTTGGTGTCTACACCAGTTAAGAACTGGGAATGTTTTGATTTTTCTTTCTTTCTTTTGGTGGGATTAATTTTCTCCTTTTTCTGGGCCATTTTTGTTTTTACTTGATTGTGTACAAATTCAAAGGCTAGTTAGAATTGTTAAAACTTAAAAGTTGTCATCGATTCTTTTTCCCCCTTTTACTTCAGCTGCAAACAGTCAGCTATTATTGGGAATGATGTTTTGCCAGCAACTTGAAAATTAGTTAGAAAAGTTGGCAACTTTTTGGTAATTAATTCGCATGAATTTGAGTTGACTTGCGATCCAGAATGGTCCGCTACAATTGGAGTGTTGATAAATTAATTTTTGAGAAGGTGGGAAGTTGAAAATATTGCAGAAGAATGATTCTTTTTTGTTCATGAATTTATGTGGATTATACTGTCATGAGGTGGTATCTATAAGCTGCAATTCGTAGGGTATTGAATCATTGGTGAATCTCATTTCGGATTATACTATCATGAGGTGATATCTATAAGCTGCAATTCGTAGGGTATTGAATCATTGGTGAATCTCATTTCTTCTGTAAGATTTACGCTTCATCGATTTCGCCTTTTTGGACTTGTGTAGGGCAATGAATTTCTCAGGCTGAATAGGACTTGCCAGTTGATAAAACTGATACTCAAGATTCGAGGTGGTTTACTTATACATAGTTGAGCATTGGGATTTTTGACCTGTTTAAGGGCGGAAAGGTTTCCAGGGATCATGTTCTCTGTGCAGAAATGGAGCTCATGGTCCCTGGTAATAGTCATTGCTTCTGTTGTGGCCTTAGTTTCAGTTGTACATTTCTTTCTTTCCCCTGGGGGGCCATTTGTAGATGATTTTGGGAATCAGGAGGTCAAACACACCTCTTTTCAATCAAATGGAACCAAAGAAGAGGGCAATAATGTTCTTAAGGCTGGATTCAATGGCACTGATAGTCTGATGAATGGGATGATTTACGGGAGCAAGCAAACAAATGAGTCTGCTGAAAAGGGGAAGCAGACTGAGAAAATAATGCAGCAGGCAAGGGTTAATTTAACTCTCCAATATCCTCCAGATTCAAGGAATGCTGTTTTCTACCGCGGTGCTCCTTGGAAGTCAGAAATTGGGAGGTGGTTATCTGGCTGTGATGCAAATGCAGCTGCAGTAGAAGTGGTTGAGGTAGTACAAGTTTGAGCTGATTATGATATTTAAAACTCTCCTATTTTGAGACATTGATTTCTTACTTTCTGTGTTTCTTAGGAGTATGATTCTGTTCATGGGAGTGTTTTTTTTTTTTTTTTTTTTTTTGGGTTAAGGAGGGGGTGGTGGGTTTACTCTATCTGTGTAAACTCAATGGCTTTGTCCTGTATTGATAGGTTTGCAATTTTTAGTCAAAGTTATGAACCTTTAGAGTTTCCCCAATCCCTCAGAATGAAATGGTTATTTGCTTTGTTGTTTGTAATGTTCAGAACCATTAACATTGTATAGCTTTCTTTTAATCTTTAAGGTTGTAATATATGAGGTTTGCGAAAATGTTTATCTTATTAACCAAAAACTTTGTCACAGGAAATTGGTGGTAAGAGCTGCAAAAATGATTGCAGTGGTCAAGGCATTTGCAATCATGGATTCGGTCATTGTAGCTGCTTCCATGGATTTGATGGTCAGTATTCCTATCCATTGCGCTTATTTCTTGATACCCGTTTTCAGATCTTACAGAGGAGCTCACAAGTAGATTTAGTTATGCTTTGGTGTTCTTTTGGCCTAATCTTCTTCCAATATGATAAAAGTCAGTAGCTACTTCAAGGAATCTTGAGAACTTCTCTTCCAGTTTGGTGCAGACTGTGGAAGTAATGAGTTTAGTTTTTTCTTTTGTTTTCTGTTTTCTGTTTCCTTTCCCTTTTCTCTTTCTTTCTTTTTTTTTTTTTTGGGTTTTTTGTTTGTTTTTAAATTTGGTGGATGTGTTATCAACGATGTTGGGATATACTGGGTATGCTGTTATTGTGGTTATCAAGCATACACAATAACTATAATTCCTTAAAATTTGTAGTAGTGGTGACCAATGGTAACCTTCACATCATAAGGATTCAAGGTTAAGTCCCAGTTAACAGGCATCCCCTAGAGGCTTCAGTGAAAGGCTGTAATTTAGCTTTCTCTTGTGGGCAGTCCTGGTGAATTCAAAAGCTATTGAGTCGCAGATTCGCTACCTTAGCTAGTTTGATATCTCCGGCTTTATGAAATTTGAGAGCTTCTTTTTGAGCTGTCATTGAGTATATGAAAATTGACAAGTGATGGTGGCTTGCAGGGGAAGATTGCTCGGAAAGACTGCAACTAAGTTGCAATTACACTGGATCAGCAGAGAATCCATATGGCCGGTGGGTAGTCTCGATTTGCTCAGCTCATTGTGACACAACAAGAGCTATGTGCTTTTGTGGAGAAGGCACAAAATATCCAAATCGTCCTGTGGCAGAGGCATGTGGATTTCAGATAAAGTAAGCATCGGGATATTGTTAGATTAGTTTCACTGTACTTTATTTTTTTTGTTATGATTAGTGATTAAAGACTATTCAATACATTTTAGTCCGCCTTCTGAACCCGGGGGTCCCAAACTGGCTGACTGGACAAAAGCCGATGATGATCTTTTCACAACAAATGCAAGTAGACGAGGATGGTGTAATGTAGATCCCCAGGATGCATATGATGGTAAAGTACTTTTCAAGGAGGAATGCGATTGCAAGTATGATGGTCTATGGGGCCGATTTTGTGAGGTGCCAGTGCAAAGTGTGTGCATTAATCAATGCACTGGTCATGGCTACTGCCGTGGCGGATTTTGTCAGGTAGAACCAGTAATGACATCTTTTCGAATAGAAACTTCCGTTATTGCAATTTATGAATAAATAATTTATCAGCTGCAAACGTAGCCTTTGCATCCTTAGTACTTAATGGCTGAAAGAAATGCACTGTTCAGACCAACACTGCACTAGTAGTTGTTCTTAGGGTTTTCCAGTTTTGTCTATTACAAATGAGTTAAAATGTAGTTTAACTAGGAAACGACCAATTTTTTATTTGGAATAGTTCTTAATGTTCGAGATATTTCGAAATCTACTAGCATACTGTTTTTTTTTTTTTAATTTTTAATTTTGAATTTTTTTTTAACTAGCATACTGCTTTTCCTTCCATAAACTCATATAAAATACATGGTACGAAAACTTGGATTATTCATATGATTACAATTTTGAACCTGACCACCTTCTTGTTCTTTATCGGTTGTATGTTCTCAGTGTGAAAAAGGCTGGTACGGAATGGATTGCAGTATCCCTTCTGTTTCATCCCCAGTTACTGAGTGGCCAAAGTGGCTTCGACCAGCACAGATCCAGATTCCTGATAATACAAATCAAAGCGGGAAAATAAGCCATCTAAATGCAGCTGTAAGAAAGAAAAGGCCCCTCATTTATGTTTATGATTTGCCACCAGAATTTAACAGTCTGCTCTTGGAGGTCAGATGCGCACCGCTAATTGTTTTCTTATTTTAATTAGGAGATCGAACAATTTATCTCACAATAACTCAGGTTTGCGTTTCAGGGCCGCCATTACAAGCTGGAGTGCGTAAACAGAATATATGATCACAGAAATGCTACAATATGGACTGAACAACTTTATGGTGCACAGGTTTTTCTGAGAGTCTATGGCAAAATTTAAAACAGAAGTCAAGTTTTCCATCTAATGAAATTTGCTTTAACACGCTCTTGTAGATGGCAATCTTTGAGAGTATATTAGCCAGTCCTCACAGAACATTGAACGGTGACGAAGCAGATTATTTTTTTGTTCCGGTCCTTGATTCATGTATAATAACTCGTGCTGATGATGCTCCCCATTTAAGCATGCAGGTATGCTGTGATGATGATTTCTTTCCCGCCATAATATAATCAATGTTTGTCTCTTCTCCTTGTCCATTTAAGAACACCTAGTTAAATGATACATCTGTTACAACCTAACTCTTGTAGAAAGTCTGTGCTTTTGGTTCGACACCCTTATAAGAGAGTCTCTTTTAAGAGATTTTTGGTCCTTCTCGATTCTTGATCCAGTAAAGGAAGTCCTTTACATATTGAGAATTGGCTTCTAAGTACAACCCTAATCATGATACAGAAAAGAAGAAGGAAGAAAAAAATCCGTCCCTTATTTGGGCGTCTGAAGTTAAAAATTTATAACTTGGATAGTCATAGCCTGGGAATCATGCATAAATGTCTGAGACACCTTGTAAATTTACACTGATGTCTGTAAGCAATGCAGATGTTGTCAGGCAACCAATATCAGTTTACTGCAGTTTCAATGGCTTCTTTTGTTCTTTCCTTCTCTGAAATGGTTGATTATGTACTGATCGGCCTTCAATTACAGGATCACTTTGGCCTGAGGAGTTCTCTGACCCTGGAATATTATAAGAAAGCATATTATCATATTAGCACCGAGTATCCTTACTGGAATCGGTCGTCTGGAAGAGATCACATATGGGTACTGTAAAATTAGCTTCTTTATTACCTTTTACTACATTTTCAATTATGGCAAGCTCTCTTTACATATCTATCTCATTTTAACATTATGCAGTCTTTGTGTTAACAATTCTGTCTCTTTTTCTCAAAACAGTCCTTTATGTGGGATGAAGGTGCTTGCTACGCCCCTAAGGAAATATGGAACAGTATGATGTTGGTCCACTGGGGGAATACAAACTCCAAGCACAATCATTCAACAACTGCATACTGGGCGGACAATTGGGACACCATTTCGTCTGAAAGAAGAGGAAACCATTCTTGCTTTGACCCGGATAAAGATCTTGTCATTCCTGCATGGAAACTTCCTGATGCAAATTCTCTGATGTCAAAATTCTGGGCCTGGTAATTATTTCAGCCATTTTACAGTTTATTTGTTTGAAATTTTGTACACATAGTCCTATGATGCATCCATGTCTGAGACAAGTGGCTGCTGGATGATCTAATACAGGCCTCGTGAGAAGCGGAAAACACTCTTTTATTTTAATGGAAACCTTGGACCAGCTTATGAATATGGAAGACCAGAAGATACGTACGTGATCCGAAAGCTCTAATATTATGCAATCTCCCATAAATTTTAATTCTGAAACAGTCATTCTAGATGCGTTTTGAAGATCTTAATTTCTCTGAGATTTGCACTTTCAGTTACAGCATGGGCATAAGGCAGAAAGTGGCGGAAGAGTTTGGGTCAAGCCCAAACAAGAAAGGACAACTTGGGAAACAGCATGCTGCTGATGTAGTGGTTACTCCTGAACGTACTGATCATTATCATCAGGAACTGGCAAGTTCTATTTTTTGTGGGGTTATGCCTGGAGATGGGTGGAGTGGCCGGATGGAAGATAGTATTTATCAAGGGTGCATTCCTGTAGTTATCCAGGTTGTGACCTATTCTTTAGTTTCTTAATTGCAAGTGGCTTCTATTAACCGTGTATAACATGTAGTGATTTTTTTTTTTTTTTTTTTTGGTGTTGGAATGTGGGAGGGTTTCTAACTAATGGATGGCTTTTTGATTTAAAATCCGTTGACTCCTTCATATATGCTCAGGATGGAATTTACCTGCCATATGAAAATGTCCTCAACTATGAAAGTTTTGCTGTTCGTATAAAGGAAGATGAAATTCCAAACTTAATGAAAGTTCTTCGGGTAATAACTCCTTCCCTCTTGTTGACAGTTGGAAATATCCACTACTTACTCAACCAAATGGTGGCTGAGACTAACTCGTTACTTCCCTTTCTTGTAGGGATTCACAGAAGAAGAAATAGAATTTAAGTTGAAAAATGTAAGAAAGTTATGGCAAAGGTTCATATATCGTGATTCTATTCTTCTGGAAGCTGAGAGACAAAAAATTGCTCCTGGCATTGTGGAGGGCTGGACTAGGGAGATGTCTCAGTTACTTGAAGATGATGTTATTGCAACACTTATGCAGGTATGGCTCTGGAACCAGACTTCTTCTTCTTCTTCTTCTTTTTTTTTTTTTTATCATCTTTTCCTTTTTGGGATGTATGTTTTGGTCAAGTTCCTATCTCGGTGCTTTCTATTTTCCATCCTAAATATCCTGCAGATATTGAGGATTTGATATTGAGCTATTCGATACGACTAAAATTTAGGAACTGGTTGAGGGAGATATGATAAGTGCAAAGAAAATGTCGTCTTTCAAGATTTTGATCTGAACGCTGAGAAAACACTATTAATATATATCCTTTCTCTGGCAACATTAGTTGCATATTTCTGAAGAAGGTCCATGATTGAGTATGCTGCAGAAATTTCTTCATTACCCATTATTACAGTAGATAAGGGTGACATCATGCATGGCTCATTGTTTTTGCCATTCTTGATTTTACGTCTTCCATGGCTCTCCCCTTCTACGACACTTAGCTAAATATAGTGAACTAATAATAATCATTTACTTCATTAGATATTGCACTACAAGCTGCATAATGACCCTTGGAGACGGAAGCTGAAACATAAAAGAACGAAAGAGTATGGATTACCCGAGGACTGCTTGATCTGATGATAGTGGAGAGATGTAAACTAATCGGAAGTATATCACAGAAGATGGCACCAGTTAACAAGAAAACAGAAAGGACAAATAAGATCCTTCATATACCTATACATCATACAATGTTTAAACAAAGGGTGATTTCATTCCCTTTGCCTCACAATCTGTGTCCATAGAAAGGTCAGTTTTGTCTCCACAAATGAAACTCTAGCTCCAGCCCTATTGGCTATTGCTCCATCAGCCCCGACACAACTTTATTACAGAAACTAGGTTATGATTCTGCTTAGGACTCCTTTTTTTTAAAAAAATTTTAAATTCAATCATTTTTTTGCATGGAGGTAAGCATCCCTATACACCAAGAAGTTATAGGTTTTTTTTTTTTTTTTGAAATGGTAGAAAATTATAGGTTGTTTCTTCCTTTTGTTACGCACCCCCTCCCCCAGTCCTAGTCGTTGTACAGAACAAAGAATAGATCTTTGAAGTTATAGATGGGAAGAACTCCACCATGTCATCATATTCCCTTTGTTACTTGGGATAGTTTCTGGCATTTTTTTTTTTGCGGTCTTTCCTTTCTTTCCCAAGGACACAGAATCAGTTTCTTGGGCTAGGAAGATGCTTTATGCTATCAAATTACATCTTAAAAAACAGCTAAATAACCAAATCACTCTTATGAAGAAAATCTCTTACAGCATAACTTGATTCATTTTAAATAGCCTGACTCATTAACCAAACCAAACGCCACCTAAAAAACTGATGGCTAGTACTTGAACAAGTTCGGGTTATCTTGGTGGCTCCAGACAATCTTATAGTACTTGGCACCTGAAAGAGAAGGGAGCAATTTCACAACATAATCATCAGACTGTTTTAGTTAACAGTGAAAAGTCAATCCCTGGATTTTCGAGGGGATTATTGATACTGATCAGATTCTCTTCAACATTGCTTTGGTTTTCTGTGGCCATTGACGAGTCTGAAACCAATCAGTTCCATCTTTTCACGTGAACTGACCTCCAACATTGTTGTTTTAAGTTTTCGTTATGAAGCTTCCTTCATGGTCATCCTTTGTACTTTTTCTGGAAGAATTCTTCAAACAGGTCCTTGTCGCTAATGTAAGTGAGCAGCATAGATCAGTTCCGTGTCTAAGGTTAATTTCTTCATGCATGGCATACTTTCTACAAACAAATACCAGCTTTTCTACTTCAAACCCTGCACTTTACCCCACATGTTTCTTATCTGCCTTCCAATTGCATGAAATCAACCCAAATGAAATCGTGGTATTAAGTACTAAAATCAAATTAATTCAGTACTTGTGCGATTCTAATGTAATGTTATCCCTTCAAAAGCTATAAATACATTGATTGAGCTCTCTATTAGGAATAAAATTAAGAGGAGGATGGGGACTGGGTCCTGAGTTGAATATGGATGGGAGCTATTCGAAAATAATAAGTAACTAACTATCGATCTAGTTCACATAAAAAAAAAAAATTTTGGAATTTTTTTCCTCTTAATTTTCTTTAGGGATACACTGTATACACACAAGAACAGATCTTTGAAGATTAGTTCAGGGTATCTGTACTAATGAAATAAAATCTATAGTACTATACTAAGAGAGAAACCAGAGAAAGGAAATCAAACTTCTCCCCCCCATTGACACATAGGACAAAATTCTATGTGTCATTTTCTTATAGGTTTACACTAAAAATATTTATAACAATTACACAAACAGTCCTTTGAATTTTCAGTTAATAAATTATTATTAATTCTTAATTAAAGTATATTAATTAATTGTATGGTAAACTTTCTATTTTGCATTCCCTAAAATGAAAAAGAAAATAAGAAATTTTTAAAATCTCAACATTAAATAAGATTGATTTGAAAAAGATGTGCCCATGTCTTAGATAATGGTATTAATTCTTGATTTGATCTTAAAACAATATTAATGATCATTTGAAATTTGAAAATAATAAATACAAAATCATCAGTGATTCTTTAATTCAAAATTAAAGTTGATTGATTGGAAAAGATTTTTTGATGGGTTTGAGTTATGCTATTAATATTGGTTTGATCATTAAACAATATAATATTTTTTTGAAATTCGAAAATAATAAATACAAAATCATCATTGATTCTTTAATTCAACAATAACATTGATTGTTCTGAAAAGATTTTTCGATTGGCTTGAATAATGTCATTACATATTGGTTTGATCATGAAACAATATTAATGTGTTTTTTAAATTCAAAAATAATTAATGAAATTGTAGATAATATTTTTTTAGAGATATATCATCTATAGTCTATAGTATCTATAGTATTATACTAAGAGAGAAACCAGAGAAAGAAAACAAAAAAGAATTCTAAAGGTGCCACATTGGATAAAATTCTATGTGTCATTTTTCTAATGGTTGAGTCAAAAAATATTTACAACAATTATACTAATAGTCCTTCAAATTTTATGTAAATAAATTTTTATCAAATGACATTTAAAACTATAGTTTAAAATAGGAAAATAAAAATTAATTAAATTTAATGGACGGAATTAATGAACATTAATGCACAAGAATTATTTCCTCCTCAAAAGAATCCCCAAAGTTACTACTGGATTCATTTAATTAATCTCTCTCAAAAAAAAAAAAAAATCTCCCTCCCAATCATGTAAATCAATAGACTACAATTCAAAAAAAAAAAACCCAATTATTCAACATTAATGTTATCTTTAAAATCTTCTCCCAAAAACATGACGCTGTATTTTTCGCCAATAAAAAGAAAAAAAAAAAGGTACAAAACTTGCCTTCAATTATTACTAAAAGGATGGGACTTAACTATAATTAAATGCCCTTTTGAATTTCAAACCAATGCATTTATTTGTGTAATATCATATTACCCAAATAAATATAATATTTCCTTAATAATATCTCAAAAATTATTATAAACTTTATTTTTATCACTGAAATTTTGGATAATCAATTATCATCAATCCCAATTTATCTCTATCTATTTCCACTTTTGGATAGTAAAATATACTCCAAAAACCTACATTACTGATGGATTATAAATAAAAATAGTAAAATTCATTTTACACTTTTTATATATTTTTTTTGTTGATTTTTTATAATGTGTATAAATAACTCCCGCGGATCGCGCGAGTTTAACATCTAGTAAATTATAAGCATAAAAATTAACACTTTTTCTTGCATGACTTTCTTGGGGGGACATCTCTAATCCTTCCTAATCTTCTTGGAATGAAAATAATATGAGCGAAAGATTTCGTAACTCAGAACTTTTAACTCTTTTTTGTTTAGTGTAGGAAAAAAAAAAATTTATTGAACCACAAATTCAATAAATCAACCACATATGTATTTATATACTCAACCTAAGTTCACTGCTATAGGCAGAATTGATGATCATGGCAAATACTTGAGTAAGTTTGGGTTATCCTTGTCCCTCTCCATATAGTCTCGATCAATCAATTCTTCAATTCTCTTGTTGATTGACTTGGCATCCGGCTTGAACATTGGACTCAACTGTTCAACACACTCCATAACCAACTGCAGACATCCCAAAGCTTTCCTGCTCTTGATGATTCGCAGGATCGCGGCATCAATGGCACACCGTCTGTCCAAATGAACATCTTCTATGACTTTGTTGTTGTTATTGTCTTCCACCTGAGGAGGAAGAGGGATCTTAATCCTCCTCATTTTATGAGTGAACTTTGAGTTAAACTCAAAAACATCAGTTGGGGAAATTGTTTTGGTGTTATTGTTAGGCTCTTTGTTAAGAATCTTATACTTTCCACATGAAAGGGAATGTAGTAATCTAGCAACCTCATCATCTGGCAGATTTAGTTGTGTCATTATCTCATGATAGCTCAATCTTTCTGATGCATTGAATAACAGCAGAACAGAAGCCTGGTGGGTTGATGTAATCAGCTCCACATTCTTTTGATCAAATTTTCCAATTATGTGACATGTTCCCAGAGGATATATCCATGTAAGTTCTCTGTCTTTTGTCTTTGATCGGTAAAACTCCCGAAAAACTTCGACGCATTTCACCATCTCAGGAGGAAGATTAAGGGTAAAGGATGTGTAACTAGGCCAGAATGCAGTAGTAAGGACAGTTACACTCAAGTCAATTCCAGGATTTACCTGAGGATTATTATTGAGATACTCCTCAAAATAGGTTTGTTTTTCTCTGGCCACTGTCAAGTCTATAACCATCATTTCCAACTTTGATGTGAACTTACCCCCCACATTGTTGTTTAAGTATTCTCAGGAAACTTCTTTCATTGTCATAGTTTGAACTTTGATCAAGTAATAAGCGGCGAGAAAGCTTTTTCCGGTAGGATTCTTCAAACAAGTCCTTATCACTAATGTAAGACAACAACCTCACTACATTCTCTAAGGTTTCCTGGCCAAGTTTATCACTCCGAACTTTTTTCAGAAAATTGTCACAGAATGTCGCGAGAAGTTCCGTGCTGGAGATTCCGGCAACAGTACTACCCTTATTCCAAAACACTTCAAAAGCTTCCTTGAGTGCCTTATGGAAAAGGGAATGGTTCATGAAACAGTTACTAACATAGGCAAGATATTTTTGGTGCAATTCGATCAGGTTCCTCACAAAGACCAGCTGATCCTTCAAACCAGCCTTAGCAGCATCTTTTGCTTGGTGGACTAAAGCATTGCCTGGAGCAGTAATAAGCTGTTTGAATATCTCAGCAACATGATCTAAGAACTTAGGTGTTTTGGCGAAAAGGCAGTACATCCTCGACAAATCATCACCCCTCTTGCCATCATCATCTTGATCTCCAAGAAGTAATGCATGACATCCTGAGTTCTGTTTCTCGAGTACTTGAGATACATAAACAGTCAAGAGCTCGCATCGCGCTTTCTCGAGCAATTTGGTTTCGGTGGTGGGGTGGAGATAAGGAGCAACCCTTTCCTTTTCTCGCTCCAAACACTCTTCCACCTTCAACATATAATCCGGAAAAGAATCTTCCTGAATCCATTTAGAAGCTTCTCGGGAGTAATAAGCTGCGGTATCAATGAGCATCGCAGCTTCGAAATCTTCCTTATAACAATCCATCTTCCCCATCCCGATTTCAACAAATATATCTATTACCTTCTTCAATAAATCTCTATCAATTCCCTCTCCTTCGCGCTCCCGGCGAATCATAGATATAACAACATCCGGGATAATTTTCCCATTCTTAAATTCAGCATCAAAAACCTGATTTCTGAAACAAGTGAATCCAACTTGTGTTAGCGTAGGAACGGGCTTTCGGTACCGCTCAAGGTAACCAAAGAACTTTGTTAACCATGACACCATGGTTTTGTGATTTGACCATCGTTTCAAAAGCTCCCTCAACAGGGATTCGCCGTTATTCTTGTCTCTTAGAGGAGGCAATACGGTGGAGGAGATGTAATCTTTGATAAGCTTCGGAAATCTTTGGTATAACTGCTGAGAATAGCCACGTGGATGGGTACAAATATTAAAAACTGTTGAGTAAAGTGTCATGCACTCATCATTACTGATCCGGACCTCATCCGTGTCTTCAAAATTGTTCTTGAGTTTTGCAACCCTCATCTGGAGAAAATCCCATTGCTCGTCCAGATATCTCGTCTTCTTCATGATGTTTTGATTGGCACATGCCCAAAAAGTTCCACCTCTAATTAAACCTCTGTTGTTTTAGCTACAATGTCAGAAAAACCCTGAACTATATAAAATTGCTTAAAAACCCTAGAATCCAGACAAGATCGGCAATTGCGCATAAAAGCAGTCACTTTTTAGATCACACCTTTTTATTTGTGTCGGTCGTGTATAATTGTAGTAGGATTCCATGATACTAGGGATCCGACAGACAAGCACTTGCGGTCGTAGGTAGAGACTCCCGTCCGGACATGATACTAGGGATCCGACAGACAAGCACTTGCTAAGTTGCTATGGACATAAAATAACCTTTAAATTATTTGGTTAGTTGTCCCACTAATCGAGGTGTTTATAAAAGTAGTGACAGTGGACACGAAATAATATGCAAAAAATAAAATAAAATCAAATCATATCTCCGTTTTCTATATTTCCTAGTTGAGATATTTAACAGTTTGAGTATGTGCACCTGCATTTACGAATGTCGTTTAACTTTCAGACCTGATCAATATGTGTGTTACCACCAGATATCTTCCGCTGTAAATGGAGAGATTATTACTGAAATGAACCGTGCTATCTGTTCTCATTAGTGGTTATTAATTAATTTCTGGCACAATGACAATGAAATAATTATTGAATTTCGGCTTTTATCAATATATATTATAATTGGAGAATATGATTTTGGATTTGGTAGTCCTTCCTCCTACATTTATTTTGATTTTTTATTATTTTTGTGTGAAATTTAATGTTTAGTGGAAAATAAAATGTTAGAAGAGAATGAAAACACACAGAACTTTGATAATTTACTACTTATTATTATTAGATTTTGAAACATCACAAAATTAGTTGTAACGATTTTAACTTATACTAGATGCTTGGCCCGGACAGATGCCCGGATGCACCTCTACTTTAATTTTGTGTTAATAGATAAATGAATTTTTGATTTGGAAAAATAAAATAGCTACACATTTGGTTTTTTTTCCCTTTTTTAGCCAAAAATAAAAATAAAAATAAAAAACTCATCTGCCAAAGGAGAAAAAATAT